GATGGAGACTGGTTAGCCAGGATGACCTGACCCTGGAAAAGGCACTCAGGGAGTCCACGGCCTATGAGAAGACGCACCAAGACCGCCGCGGGCGGTCGGTCCATCGCACACAAGCAATGCTTGAGTCAGACGACTCCAAGAATAGGGACAAGGTGCACCAGGTCCGTCGTCGGTCGTCTCAGCCGGTCACCAAAGCGGGCAAAGCTCCTTCAACAGCCCCTGCCCCATGCAGCAGCTGCGGAGAGGACCACGAGCGCCGGTCGTGTCACTTCTGAAACACTGTCTGCCGGACCTGCAACAAATCGGGGCACATTTCCCGGGTTTGCCGCTCCAAGGGGTAATGCCAGAAGCCGTCCGCCCACCAGACCACGCTGGAGCTGCTCAGTGACCTCCACACCCTATCGGCCCACTTTCCGCAGCACCTGATCTGTAATTTGCCCCCCGATGGCCCCAACAAGTTGCATGTCACGGTTATTATAGAGGGATCCCCCTGCAGCATGGAGATCGACACAGGGTCGACCTACTCCATTATCTCTGCAGACACACTCCGCCTGCTGTGTCCGAAGGGGGCCCCCCCGCTTCAGAACTCGCGGGGTTTCCGGTTAAGGGACTTCAACAAGAACCCCGTGGCGATGCTGGGCTGGGGCAAGTTCCGGGTACAGTTCAAAAACTTTAACGGCACCCTTGACCTGTTGGTGGTGGATAGGCCTCTCTCCAGCCTGCTGGGACTCTCTTGGTTCGAGGCCCTGGGACTCTCTCTGAATGGAATCCACCGGGTAGGGTCATGGGATTTTGGTGCGGTGTGCACAGAATTTCCCCGCGTTTTTGATGGCACCCTGAGCCCCCCCATCTCCCTGGATCTCGACCCAGCGGTGCGGCCCATCTGCGTCAAGACCAGGCTGCCGCCACTAGCAATGAAGCTGAAAATCGAGGCTGAGCAAGATGGAGCAATGGGTTCTGGAACCGGTCACGTCGGCACGGTGGGAGACCGCCATAGTCACCCCGGTGAAGTCCAACAGGGACGTGCGCATTTGTGCTGATTACAAATGCACGCTAAACAAGGCTCTGCAGGCACACGCTTATCCGGTGCTGATGGTGAGCCACGTGTTGGCGGCTTTGGCGGGGCCCGGGTCTTTGGCAAGTTGGACTTGGCACAGGCGTATCAACAACTGCCGGTTGATGCCACCACGGCTGAAGCCCAAACGATCACAACACACAGGGAGGCGTTCAAGGTTCACCGCCTCCAGTTCGAAGTCTCGGTCGCGCCAGGGATTTTTAAATCTTTTATGGATTCTCTCCTGAAAGGCATCCCCAGGATTCAGCTGTTTCTAGACGACGTGCTGATTGCGGCTCCGGATGACTCGTCCTTCGCGGACCATTTGAGGGTCATTCTACGACGTTTCGATGCAGCCGGGCACAAAGTCAAGCGGGAGAAATGCCTCTTTGGGGTGCCTTGCATCGAGTTCCTGGGCTTCATGGTTGACACTTCAGGCATCCGCCCCACCACGGACAAGGTGACTGCCATCACGCAAGCGCCGCCTCCAGCGTCCAAGTCCAGACTGCAGGCCTTTTTGGGGCTCCTGAACTTCTACCACTCCTTTTTGCTCCTCAAAGCTGCAGTCGCAGAACCGCTCCATCGCCTCCTGGACAAGTCGGCACCATGGGTCTGGGGTCCGCCACAAGCAGCTACGTTCCAGGCGGTCAAAGACCTGCTCGTCTCGAATGCAGCCCTGGCGCATTTCAACGAGGTGCTCCCGGTGGAGCTGGCCTGTGACACTTCCCCTTACGGAGTGGGAGCAGTCCTGGGCCACCAGCTGCTGGACGGCCGCAAGGTCCCGGTTGCGTACTATTCCAGGACTCTGTCAGCTGCTGAGCACAATTATGCGATCAATAAGGAGGCGCTGGCGATTGTGCCGGGGGTGAAAACGTTTCACCACTATCTGTACGGGCAGCCCTTCACGGTTCTCATGGACCACAAGCTGCTGCTGGGCCTCCTGGCCCCAGACCCCTCAGATAATTTCACCCCGGGTGCTCCGCTGGTCTATTTTTTCTGGCGGGGTACTCCTACGCTTTTGTCCATCGCCCCGGCAAGGCAATGGGCCATGCAGACGCCCTAAGCTGCCTACCGCTGCCAGTCTGTGACCCAGATCCAGCTCCCACCCACCAGATCGCTCTCCTGGAGTCCCTTCCGGATTGGCCGGTCCACGTCGCTGAGGTGGCTCATGGCACCTCCAAGGATAAGGTACTGTGCCGGGTTTTGGACTGGGTGGTGAGGGGGTGGCCCGCGGCCAAAGGAGACCCTGACGTAATGCCCTTTGCTTCTCGGAAGGACGAGCTGTCTGTCCACCGGGGCTGTGTCATGTGGGGAAGTAGGGTGGTCATTCCCAAGCCCCTACGGAAGTGGGTCCTCACCAACCTTCACAAAGCACACCCCGGGGTGGTGGGCATGAAAGCCTTGGCCCGGAGCTACGTCTGGTGGCTGGGGTTGGACCGGGACATAGAGGATGTGGTGAAGCGGTGCAATCCCTGCCAAGCATCCCGGCCCGAGCCTCCCTGAGCCCCGGAATGGGCTTGGGAATCTTCCCACTGCCCCTGGTTACACTTGGACTTTGTGGGACCGGTCCAGGGGCAACTCTTCTTTATCCTGGTGGATTCCTTCAGCAAGTGGCTGGAGGTAGTTCCTGTGCCCTCCACCTCCTCAAAGGCGGCCATCCGGGCGATGTGGTGGATCTTCAGCCCCCAGGGAATTCCAGACACTCTGGTCACGGACAACGGGACGGCGTTCACGTTAGCAAATTCCAGGAATTCATGAGTTACTACGGTATCCGCCATGTCCAGGCTGCCCTGTTCCACCCTGCCACCAATGGCCAGGCCGAGTGCATGGTCAGAACCACAAAGGACACTCTCCGCTGCTTGGACTCCCCGGACTGGGATTATAAACTGGCGGCTTTCCTTTTTGGCCAGCGAATGACACCCTACACCATGACGGGGCGCAGCCCGGCAGAGCTACTTCTGGGCCGCCGCCTGGCAACCCGGTTGGATTGCCTCCACCCCGACCGGGCATCAGCAGAGGCACCAGGCACGGAGACGCACGAGGCAGCCAGGGGTTTCTTCCCGGAAGATCCCATGTATGCACGGAACCATGCCCGGGGACCCGCCTGGATCCCGGCACGAGTCATACGAGTTAAGGGCCCCAGATCGTATGAGGTCTCTTGTGAAGATGGCCAGGTTCTACACTGTCACATTGACCAGCTATGCCACTGGATGATGCCATTGGACCCCGAGGACTTGGACATGACTCCGGAGATTTCACCCCACACCCAAATCCCGGTGGCCAACCCCCGACCTCTACCCTTGGTAGAAACTGAGACACCTCTTCTGGAGGTGCTGGGGATGCTGGCACCGTCGCCCCCAGCACCTCTCCCGGCCAGCTCGCCTATGAGGGCTTCAGGGGTGGAAGCCGCAGCAGTCCCTGAACTTCGCTGCTCTACCCGCACCAGGAAGTTACCAGCCCACCTGAAGGACTTCGTCTGTGGGTGCATTGTGGACCAAGGGGGGAGGGGTGTAATGTATCCAGTCCAGACCGCGTGGCCCGCTTGGGCTCCACGTGGTCAGACACAAACGTCGAGCTTTGCTCCAAGAGAAAATGGACTATGCGGATCCTAGCCTGCTCCAATCAGGGGGCTAGGTTCCCGGCTGAGAGCCTATGGGACTCTCGGCCACTGTAAATAACCTATTGGAAAGTAGGGGTGTGTTTTGGGTGGTGGTTTCTCTGGGGATATAGGCCGGCCCGCGCGCCGGCCAAAGTCGTCTTGTTCCTGTTCAAATAAAGTACGCTTTGCTGAAATCACTCTCCGTCTGCGTACTTTTCTACACACGCCCTCAGTAATCCTTACAATGATCCTATGAGGTAGGTTAAAGTTATTTCCATTTTGCAAGTTGGGAGACTAAAAGTGTCTGTTGCATAACAGCCCATTGCGAATTCATGACTGGGGCAAGATTTGAACTTCCTTGTTCACAGCTTAAACTCCCATACTACACTAGCCCCTACACAGTATGCAACAACTCAGGCAGCAACAACCTCCTTCCTTTTAACTAACAAAAACCTTCCAGAGAGATTAACAGCATAATTCCAGGGATTCAGGAGGGTCTAACTCTGTTTAGGAGGGCACTGTAATTTCATCTTTATTTTGGCTCTTCATCTTGAGAAGAACCAGCAAGATCTTTACGTGACTTATTGCTGGTGTTTATGTTTCCAAAGAGAATTCTTGCACAAGGAGCCCTTGTGATACCACAGACCTTCGTATATGGCAAATCCACACAAACTCTCCCTCACCTTTATAAAAATGAAACAATCTGCATATGTGGATCTTGACAACGATTTCTGAGTGAATATGCAAAGTCCTTTCAGACTGATTTTCCCTCTGAATATGCAGCTGGTACATGAGTTCCCTGTAACACAACAGCTTGCACTGTAGAGCAAGTCCTTAAAAAGGTATTATTCCTGATGCTTCGAATCTTGTCACTTGTCTTTAAGAGGAATTCTAGCAATGGAGTGGAAAGGCTTTGCTTTCATGATCTTAAACGTGTCAATTCTATATTCGAGTCCCGAATGACTCTTTTAAATATATATATATAATCAACAGGAACTGCCTGATCCTTTTTTAGTCGGATTACAAAACGGGTGGGGAGAGGCGCGGAAGGAGAGCCTTGAGCTCAGTCTCTCTGTCCCGGAGGCATTCCGGTGAGGGGGGTGTCCCTTGTTTTCCGTCGTACACCCCAGGCCCAATGACCAGATCGTATTCCTACGGCCGCCACCCAGACCCAATACATTTCCCTTCCACGGGTCCGGGAGTTCACGTGGAGCAGCAGAAGCTCCACCCACGACTTCTCGAAAAGCCCCGCCTTCCAGCCGTTGTCTGTCTCCTATTGGCTGTTGCGGACGGCCGCAACGCCGACAGCGGGCGGGCCCCTTTGTGACGCCACAATCAGCTGTTTGAACGTTCTAATTTCTGAGCCGAGATCAACTGGGGATTCAGCAATAACAGAAAAATAATAATACCAAGACTGCAGCCAGGGGAGGGAGGGTGTCCGGACGCAAGAGGAGCCGCATGCAGCTCGCAATGGTGTATATCTTCTGAGAAGATCTGAAACGCCGTTCAAATCATCACCGCCGCCGCCTACCTTCTCTTCCCCTGCATCCTTTTTGTGGGGGGTCTTTTTTTCTTTTAAAGAACAAAAATCATTTCTATTATCGATCTTGGTTGATTTCAATTAAAACTACCTCACAGACTCTACCTAAAGCTGGTGCTTTAAAAAAAATCTTGTCGGTTTTCTTTGTGACGTTGTTTACAAAACATTTGATGACATTAAAGGCAAGGTAAGCGTTCTTTCCTTCCATATTTCTGTGCGGCCGATTTCTCTGCAAACTTGAGGACCCTCTCTTTGTGGTGGAACCGAACGCTCCCTGTGGGGTGGGTTTCTGTTTGTTTGTTTTTGCCTTTTCCGTCGCTGAGAGCCATCCCTTTGCATGTCACGCATTTTAATGGCTTGTGGCACTCAGCTCTGATATCACCTTCCCTGCTGGTGTGGCATTTAAATTCCCTTTGTATTTCGCAGCTGGGATACGACCGGGAGCATCGCTTTTATGCTTCTGAATATGTTGTTATGGACGCGTTATGATTTCATTCTCTGGTTGGCGGGGAAATGGCGAATAAAATTACCCTGGGAGAAGAGAAAGCTAAACACGGGGGGGGGGGGTGGTGTATGTAATCTTTGCTTTGTTGTGAGTTCCGAAACAGACAGTCAAGAGGCACCAAGCAGAGGTTTCGGGGCATTCGAGTGGGGGGACGCTTGTGTTTACTTTACCCCCCCCCCATCAACCTCTGCTTTGACTTGTAAATTAATGGAGGTGCGTAAAACGAGAGGGGGGGAGAGAATGTCTGTGGGTTTTTGAGAACGCCCTCTCCCCCCAAAAAACAGAGCCTTCTTATCGACACTAAAGGTTTTATTGGAAAAATTCGCGGCGTTAAACAAAGACTGCAGGAGCTCGCCAGAGCCGAGGGCATTGCGATCTGGCTTGTTTGTCACTGACTGTCTGTGAAGTGCAGAAAGAGCCTTTTGTCCTGGCTTGCTTTGGCGACCCCAAAAGGGCAGATATTAATAATAATAGCGGGCGGGGGGTCGAAGAAGGGAGGCGAGCAGGCCAACGTTCCCTTGTGTTTGCATGGAGCCTGTCTCACTGAGGTCATAACAGACGAATGGAAAATGTTCCTCATAATTAACTGCAGATCGGAGCGGCGGGGTGGCTGCTGGCGCTTCAGCTCTTTCCGAGGCTGGCGCTATTTTGAAGAGCCACTGCAGTCCTGCCAGCCACCGCTACGGGCTCTGGAACAGAAAGGCAAAAAAAGGCTTTTGGTTTGTTGGGCTCTGCTGATCTTCCTCCACACCCCCCCCCCCCCCCGGTAGGATTTCTCCGGTGAATATTTCCAAGGGGACATATATTCGATCGATGGCTTCTCTGGCACTGTAAACTATAATATTCATTATACTGGGGGAGGAGTCGGAAAGGGGTGAAATACGCGGTTGCAAACAAAGCTCTTCTCCCTGCAGCATCTGGCCTTTCACGGAAACGGAGATGCGTGCCGAGTTAGGTCGGCCAGAACCAAACAAACCTGCACGGGACTAGAATCCCCGTCATCTACTGAGAGACGAGGAGGGTGGCGGCCTCTTTGATGCGCCAGCAGGGGAAACGGCTGGGAACAAAGAGCTGGCTTGCGCCAGTGGCAAGGCGACATCCCGTTTGTGGAGCCGGTTAGTGGGTTTCACCGATCGGCTGCTGATTTCTCTCCTTCTACAGTCCCTTCTTTTTTCGCCTCTTTGTTGTTTGTTTCTCGGCCAACGGAATTAGAGTTTAAGGTGGATCTCTCTCCCCATTGGCTGCTCGGGATTGGAAGCCTGTGGTGACTTTGCCGTGATTTGCATATGACATTGAGGCGTCACCAAGGCCCGCCCTTCGCAAGCTTCACCCCCACCCCCACCCCACGCATATGGAAGTTGTCCTCCGTTGACCTGGGCGAAAAGCTGTCACGGATTGGAGCGCCGGAGATCGGTGCCTTCCTTGGACGCTTTTGTAGGCCGAGGCCTGCGTGGAGTCAGGGAATATTTTTATCTGTGTACCGCTGAGCAAGGAAGCAGGAAGGTCGGGGCGGCTGAGCGGCTCAGCAAAGAAGGCCCCTGCGAAGGACGAGGGACCGACGTTCGTTACCTTCACCCCACTACCTCCTCAACTTTATGAAGAGCTTTGCAAAGAGTTCTGAATTCAGGCTCATTCAGCGCGTTATATTTTATTTAATTACTTGCTTACATTTTTTATAATCTGTATCCTCTGTTTTTTAAAAAATTACCCGTGGTTGCTCACGGCAGCCTTTAAGAAATATGTACTAACCCAACGGTGTTTTTAAAAAGCGCAAAAGATCTATTAACAGCAGCTGACAGCATCATTTTCTATTCAGACAGCAGCAGGTGATAAAACATCTCAGTCATGACATGTTAATGTATCATTTCATAGTGGGCACAGCAGGGAAGCAAAATCTGTGAAAGGAAAAAATACAGCATTTCTATGGGTGGGTGGGGGGTTAAAAAAAGAGAATTCAGAGAACGTTATGGATGATCTCAATATGTATGTGTATACACACTTCTGGGCAAGCTACCAAAAACATATTTCATGCTTGCCCAGAGTGTGTACACACACACACACACACACACACACACACATTGTTTCCCAGTTCTAGTTGTTGGGATTTTATTGTTGAGTCACCAAGGGTGCCTTTTCTGCATTGCCCTTCATTAGCACATCAAAAACTTTGATCTCCAAGGTTCGAGTCCAGTGGCACCATTAAAGACCAACGATGATATAAGCTTTGGAGAATCAAAGCTTCCTTCATCAGATACTTGGGAGATAGGAAGGGAGTTTGGACAGTCGAAAGCAGGTACCCTGGAAATCTTGTGGGTCTTTAAGGTGCTGCTGGACTCTTATCTTGCTCTTGCACTGCAGACCAGCTGGGCTACTCACCTGAAACATCACTCTCCTTCATGAGGACAACAATGAAAACCTGTTAGAGCCTCCCACAAATGTAAGTAACATACACAAGATCATTCCTAGGTATTCATTCAGTCACTTTGCTGATACCGGTCCTTTTTTGGCCTTAAGACTATATTCCAGGTTTGGCTAGTTTGGGTGAAAAGCAGCTCAGGCAATTATATTACAAGCAATTCTTTTTACTCAGTCCGCTGCTGGTGTTCAGCTGACCTGTTCCCCATCCATTTTTAACAATTACAATTAAATGTGATTTATGGAGGTGACAAAAATGCCAGAGTCATCAGTGTGAACGTTGAAATGCCTGTCATTTATTATCATGTGTATTAAAATTGCTCATTTCAAGCTTGCCCCTGCGGCTGTGAGTGCTAGGAAGTTACTGTGATGGGTATGGACAAGTGTGATAGATTCAGAGGCACCGGGAGCACTGCAGATGAACGATATATGGTAGCTACAAGGGTGAAGACTCCATATTCCAAAAGGCCCCTCCCTTTTCAGTTGTGGATCAGGGAAGCAGACAGCAAAGGTTAACCTGTTCTCCAGTCCAAAGGCAGGGCTGCCTGAAGAAGGCTGGTGTCCCTATTGAGGAGGAGGGCCCTCCTGGTCTTGGTCTTTTCAGCTGGATGCAGGGCCCCCACTGCCATTCGTGGGCCCTAGGGATGCCAGCCTCCAGGTGGGGCCTGGGGATTCCGCAGAATTACAACTCCTCTCCAGACTACAACGATCAGTTCCCCTGGAGAAACTTGATGCTTTGGAGGGTGGACTCTGTGGCATTATATACCCCACTGAGATTCCTAAAATGGATGTGGTAACCCTACCCCTCCAGCCCCCTGCCGATGGCCAGGGCGGACCTGTTTGGGAGAAGAGTTGGGGGGGATGGTGAGAAATTTAAGCCTTCCAGCTAATTGAAGCTTTGGATGAAGACTTCAGAATCTCTCACTAATTATTAGATCTTCAGATACAGTCTAGGTAACAAACTTGAGGATTTTTTTTTCTTTTTTGCACAGTAATCCTAGTTCAACAGAAATTGATGAAGATCCTCTCCACAGATTTAGTTTCCATCTAATCACATATTTCTTTGCATAGGGTTTCTGTTGATTATATTTCTTTTTAAGTGTGATTTTAATACACAATTAGTTTATGCTGGTAATTTTAAATGGTTAACATTGTCTCTATAAGCCACCTCAAGTCCTTTGGTGTAGACATTTGGGAAAGAAATCACAGATTTGTATACAATGATATTGTAGGGGGCACATGGTGTTCTTAGATCTGTTCTGGAAATTTTTTCTTCTCTTCAGTGCCTACGCTGTTGTGAGGTGTGTGGGGTTTGAACACTGTCTAAATAGTTATTTTGGTAGAGCCACTGCCCTTGTTGATTACCAAAAATAAGAGCTACTTACTCCACCCAGCCTAACATGTAGGGCGGTTTTGTATAACTTCTTTCCATTTTTTTCTCCTAGCTTTACTTAATAGGATTATTCAACTGAACAGGGTAATTCTCAGAAATCAACAATAGTAATGTTTGTTCCTCTGGGAGAAGAAGGAATCATTTGTTTTATTTTCTGTTTAGTTTCCCCTTACAAAAAAAAATCTGTCAAGTGTTAACTTCAAAATAATGTACAGCCACCTATAGAACAAATTTCTCTCAATGCAGAAGACAAGTGTCTAGTTTCTAAGGTGGCTCTTGCCATGACAAAGGGCCCTTTGCAGCTGAAAACTCTCAGTGGCCTTTTGTCTCCTTAGCTGCTTCCCTGTGGAGGTTTTGCTCTGCCTTTGCTTCCAGATTGGAGGACTTTTATTTGTTTTTTTTAGCATCCACACAACGTTGTTCTCTAATCACCGACTTTACAAGGTTTTCACTGCTTTGCTCCAGTGTTTCCCAGTCTTCTTTGCTATATTTGAAAGAACACAGTCCAAGCGCATTTGCACACTATCTGAACAGGAAGGGTTCATTTTCAGTGGTCCTGCCTACATCAACACAATTTTCCTTCAGCTACCATTTCCTCTACCACTGGAAGACTTTTGGAGGACTTAAAAAAAAAAATCAGTAAGGCCCCTGCCACACGGCAGGGGAAAAAGCGGCAAAAGCGTGGCTTTTAAAAGCCGCGCCAAAGTTGACACGGCGCGGCGGGATCCCATGGATCCCCTGGCCGCGCCGCCTCTTCTCCCCGGCACAAGCAGACGCCGGGGAGAAAACACAGTTCGGACGCCGAGTCAGCCGAACTGCGCATGTCCGAGCATGTGCAGTTCAGCTCGGAGCCGGGGACGCGCCGGCACATCCCTGCGCCGGCGATCAGACTCCTGGTTTGCGACGCAGCAGGGAGATGAACCACCTCGGTAGGTGGCTCCTACTTGATCCGAATCATCGAGTGGATGGGCCAGTTCGGGGACGGAAGCACCACGCTTCACAGATGTTGTGGTGTGATCGCGCTGGTTTGATCCGCCCCCGAACTGTCCCGCTACTGGCCCAAATCCCCTCGTGTGAACGGGACCTAATTTGCTTTTGCGCTGTAGTGCAGTAATATAACAATCTATTGCCAGAATTTCCTAGTTCCTTTGAACTCCCAACTTTCATTTTAAAATGTTAGTCTCTAGCCCTTTCTGCTGGGGAAGTATAAGGGCAAAGGTTCAGGTAGCTTTTGTCCACCTCTCCTGAAAAGGTTCTGCCTTGTGAGCCACTTTGGTGTAGTGGTTAAGAGCGGCGGACTCTAACCAGGTTCAATTCCCCAGTCCTCCACATGCAGCCAGCTGGGTGACCTTGGGTCAGTCACCGTTCTCTCAGAACTGTTTTCTCAAGAGCAGTTCTCTCAGAGCTCTCTCAGCCTCACCTACCTCACAGGGGAGAACAAGGGAAGGTGATTGTAAGCTGCTCTGAGACTCCCTTCAGGTAGTGAAGGGTGGGGTATAAAACCAACTCTTCTTCTTCGTCTTCATCTTTGTTGTTTTTCTCCAGAGTCGCAGAGAGTGAGAGCAGCCATCTGTATGCAGCGACTGGTCTTGTGGCTAGGCTATATGTTTCGGTTCAACAATGATTGCGAAAGGCTATGTCTCTTTTTTGCACGTACCTGCTCGCTGGCATTTTTTGTGTGGGGCTGCATGAATGTAGTAGCCATATGATCAGTTTCCAGGTGCTTGATGTGTCTAAGCGGTCTGGCAGGGCCTATGTGTTTATACAGCTTTAGTGCAACTGAGAAAGTGAATGAGATGATCCTTCCCAGCATCTTGGCCCTTGCCCACAAAACAGGAAGCTTTCATGAGATTTTGAAGGCAGCTTTGAAGCCTGGGTATGTTTATTACTTCATAGAGTCAAGAGCAGGTGGAAGGATTTTGCCATTAGTGAAATACATTTTTCAGGGGCTGGGGAATAGGTTTTAATGCTTCATCAGTCTCCCCTAACCAATGACTCGCAAAACCAGAATGAACTATACAAAACAGTTCAGAACAAACCATGCAAAATTTGCATGATTAATACACATTGGGGTTTCTTTTTGGAACAAGATTTCAGTGGTCTGGATACAAAATGTTATTATTATTTTTTAAATTGTGGAGTATGCTGAGCCCTGACAATTAAAAAGACCTTAACTGTTCATCCAGCCCCTAAAGAAAACACACATTGAATCATCAACTGGGACCACAAACATTAAGTGCTCATCTCTCCATATCATAAACTAGCATAGAAATTGTGTTGTTTGCACAGGCCTAACCTAGGTTGCACCTGTGGTGTTATCCTTTCATTGACATCTCCGTCTCTTTTCTTTCAGGGGAAGGAGCACTTGACAGGGAAAAGAAGGGCTGTAGGGTTGCAGACTCTGGGTTGGGAAATGCCTGGAGACTTTGGGGTGGAACCTGGGGAGGGTGGGGTTTGGGGAGGGGAAAATGCCACAGAGTCCACCCTCCAAAGCATCCATTTTCTCCAAGGGAACTGATCTTGGAGACCATTTGTAACAGCAGGAGATCATTTGTAAGAGAAGATCTCCAGGTGTCAGCTGGAGGTTGGCAACTCTAAGGGCTGCCTAGGGGAGGGGGTTATCCTGGGAGTCCACACAGCTGGGCATGTCATGTCATTTCTTTTCATATGTTGCTGGGGTTGAATCTGGGTCGCATGAAGGGAACTCTAGCGGGAATCTTGGCTGCTTTCACACACATTGGATGGTGCACTTTCAATGCACTTTAGCAATCATTTGCAACTGGATTTTCCTGTTTGACACAGGAAGATCCAATTGCAAACGATTGCTAAAGTGCATTATCCAATGTCTATGAAAGCAGCCTTTGTGTAGGGGGCTGTGGTGGCTCAGCAACTTTTGGGTGGGCTGACTAGACTGCATGTGTATTGGCCCTGTAAAGACAACATGGAATATGTGGATAATCAATATGTGGAGGGGAGAAGGGGAATTGTACCCACTGGTCCTGCTCTTGATTTTCGCAG